AACCTGGGCTGCCTGCTGTACCGGCAGGGGCGGCACGAAGAGGCCAGCGCCAAGTTTGCCGGCGCCATGCAAGTGTTGGGTTACTGCCCTGAGCTGTCCTACAACATGGCGCTGTGCTGCTACACGGCCAAGCAGTATGCCCCTGCCCTCAAACACATCTCCGATATCATAGAGCGCGGCATCCACCAGCACCCAGAGCTCAGCGTGGGCATGACCACTGAGGGCATTGACGTCCGCAGCGTAGGCAACACTCTGCTCCTGCACCGCACGGCCCTGGTGGAGGCCTTCAACCTCAAGGCAGCCATTGAGTACCAACTGCACAACCTGAAAGCGGCCCAGGAGGCGCTCACAGATATGCCGCCGAGGGCTGAAGAGGAGTTGGATCCGGTCACACTGCACAACCAAGCTCTAATGAACATGGACAGCCAGCCCACTGAAGGGTTTGAGAAACTGCAGTTTCTTCTGCTGCAGAACCCCTGTCCACCAGAAACTTTCGGAAACTTGCTACTCCTCTATTGCAAGCATCAGTACTACGACCTGGCAGCTGATGTGCTGGCAGAGAATGCCCATCTGACCTATAAGCTGCTCACACCTTACTTGTACAACTTCTTGGATGCCATTATTACTTGTCAGACTGCCCCTGAGGAGGCTTTCCACAAGCTAGATGATTCAGCAAGAACACTGACTGAGCAGCTCAGACAACTCACGAAGCAGGTACAGGAAGCTAGGCAAAATTGGGATGATGAAGCTGTTAAAAAGGCAGTTAATGAGTACGATGAGACTCTGGATAAATATGTACCTGTCTTGATGGCCCAGGCAAAGATCTACTGGGACATGAAGAACTACAGGATGGTGGAAAAGATTTTCCGCAAGTCGATGGAGTTCTGTAATGAACACGAGGTGTGGAAGCTCAATGTGGCTCACGTGCTCTTCATGCAAGAGAACAAGTATAAAGAGGCTATTAGCTTCTATGAGCCAATAGTTAAAAAGCACTATGACAACATTCTCCATGTTAGTGCCATTGTGTTAGCTAACCTCTGCGTTTCCTACATCCTGACAAGCCAGAACGAAGACGCAGAGGAACTGATGAGGAAGATTGAGAAGGGAGAGGAGCAGCTGTCCGATGATGATCCTGATAAAAATATCTACCATCTTTGCATTGTCAATCTGGTCATTGGTACCCTCTACTGTGTGAAGGGAAACTATGACTTTGGGATTTCAAGGGTCATTAAAAGCCTGGAGCCGTACAACAAAAAACTGAGCACTGATACGTGGTATTATGCCAAACGGTGTTTCCTGTCCTTGCTGGAGAACATGTCGAAGCACATGATCATGCTACGTGACAGCGTTATTCAAGAGTGTCTTCAGTTTCTGAAGCAGTGTGAGCTGTATGGAAGAAACATCCCAGCTGTCATTGAGCAACCCCTTGAAGAGACGAGGATGCACAGTGGCAAGAACACAGTTACCTATGAAGCCAGGCTTTTGAGGGCACTGATGTATAAGATCATTGGGTGGACTGCATAAACGGTGTTCCTGTACAGCAGAACTTTGTGTCTGTTCTTAACGCTTGTGAGGTGATGCTCACCCTGGTAGTCCTTAGCGGTATGGGTTTTTCTTGATTGCTCACCTTTAAAGATTTTGCCCTGTATTTTAACAACATTCAGCGGAAAATAGACTATTCGCATGAAATTAACCTGCACCAAATAACTAGGGGCTTTCCCAGTGATCCGTCATGTTAAATACACTTTAAGATGTGTTAACCAAGTACTTCATTACAGAAATATCTTAGAGTTTTCACCTATAAAATATTTTATCGTTCTGAAATTTTGACCTTGAATGCAACTTGAGTGAAAGTTTGTTTTCATTGGTTGACAGTTGAAAATAATTTGTTATCCATCTCATCTAGCACAGAAATTGAAGAAACAGAGTTGTTTCAATTCTCTAGTTTTTGCCCGTTTGTGAAACATTTCTTTCTTCTGCTTTTTCCAAGTTATTTTTAGTATGTTACAGACCATGTTGGTAGAATAATTAAACACAAAAAAACAGCTTTATAATAAAAAATCAGTCCTACAAACGTGAACGTTGCCTTTTGCTAACTCAGTAATAATGCACGAGTACTCTGGCAAGTTGTATAGCTGATGCAGGGACCAGGGATGTATGCCAAGAAGGATGTATTAGGGTGGCACCTCAGTTTGGGTCCACCCTTGCAGTGAAGTTCCTTATGACTGGATGTAACTGGCTCGAGCGACACTGCCCAGTGCCGCCCCTTGGCCTCTGCGACCCCCAGAGTCCCTGTGCCTGTGCTGCCCGAGCGGCAGCAGCTGCCCTGCAGACCTGTTGGGTAGCAGGTGCGCACTTAGTGACAAGGTCCTCTCTTTGCAGCCTGGCCTGCCCCTTTCATCCAAATACGTTCTTAGAACACGCCAGTCTCAGGCAAGAGACCTTGTGAATGTGAAATTATATTATTTTCCATATTTCTCAAAAAGCGTGTAACTTCCATTTCATGCAAGGCTTACGCCTTCTACCCTTAGATTGAAGAAATCTGCTGCTCAGTTTCCTCCTTGTGTTGCTGTTCCTGCATCTCTTAACACCTCTCTGAAACCCTGTTTATTTGCTTAATTCCTTTACTTGGCACCTCCATCACACTGGCATCAGACAGTGGATTTTCTCAACAGTCTCCCCATACCGTTTCAACCATATTATGTGTTCCACGGCGAAGTGAGACCAAAATACCTTCCAGTGTTTTTACACAGTCCAGTTCTGCGCCCCATGGCTGCTCTTTCTGCGTGTTCTGCCTTCTGAAGCAATGCATGACCTGAAGTTTTTAAAATAAGGATGAAAGGTCTGTGGCTTTAACTTAAGTGCTTACCTTTGATACTGGCTCCCCGAAGAGTTGTCACAGGGGAATTTTGGAATCAGGCTGCGTGTCCCTCAAAATCCAGCTTCTCTGCTGTGGTTTACCTGGAAAGAAAGAGGACAGCATTTTTGAAAGTTGCTCTGTTATAAAGCAATAGAACACTTAATCCTTCCAGAGAGTTAGTGTATATAGGGACTGAACAGGCCTACAGCCATCTCAACATACAGGAAGTCGTCTGTCCATATCTGCTGGGAGAAAAACCTGTCACAGCTCAGCATATCCTCTGTAGCTAAAGGAAATGGCTGTGCGTTAGGCAGTGTTACAGTCTACCCAAAAGTTCCTATAGCAGTAAAGTAAAATCAAATTTAGCAGTGTCAAGAATGGCAAAATGTTCTAGAGAGGCCAGAGAGCAGGCAGGAGATGCAGCAGGGTGTCCTAGAGAGGCCTCCATAACTCATTGCTAGTCCATAAAGCCCCCGATTATGGCGCTATTAAATATTTCCCACCACTGCTGCCCCATGAGGAGAAGACCCGTGATTTCAAATTTTGTTCACCTCCATGAAGCACAGCAGCAGGCTGTAAAGTATGTTTCTAATTTACAGTGGAATTGTATTATATATTATGCAGCATAAACAGCATGACCTTTAAAAAATAAAAGTTTTTAAAAGTCACACCACATAACAGCGTCTGAAGTGCAGTAACGGGCAATGATTTAGGGAACATCAGCCCGTTATTTAATATTCACTGTGCATATTCTGTAGAAGCCAGTGGACGTTTAAAAAAAAAGAATTCACTTTGTGGACTCGTGCCCGTGCCAATGTTGAATGCCCTCTAATGGAGAGCAATTTAGAGACCTTTCTCCACGGCTCACTGCTCGGTGATGTTCGCATGCTCCAGCGGTTTCCCTACAACCGGTGCGTGACATTCGTTAGGGCGCTGCAGCCAGGATTAGCTGCACTAAGCGCTTCATCTCTTTCTTGCCTTCCGCGGCCACGCAGGGGACCACTGTGAGTGATTGGAGGTGACAGGGTTGGCCGGATCTGCCCGCCCTCCCCGATCCTGCCAGCCTCCAGAGAAGGCACAGGGCCCTCGGCCACAGGGTGGGAAGGGAGAACAGCCATGCTCCCCATGGAGGAAAAGTGCCTATAAAAGGATAAGGAGTTATGCAAGATGTGGCTGGTTTAGAAGATATGGCCAGAGAGCAGTCAGCCTGTCTGGAATTTACTTCATCCTGTTGCAGCAGATCAGACGTACAAAAAAAAGCCACCAGAAAACCCCGGGGAAGACATCAATAGCAGCATTTTCCCCAGTTAGAAGGAAAAGAGAAGTTTCTACCTGCTTTTCCTCCCACAGTACGCTGCGCACCCAGACAACGCCAGGTTTCTGAGCAGGCTGGGTGATGCTGAACACCATGACCTCGATGTGGAGAGGCCTCTGCTGCTGAAAGGAGAGGGGGAAGCGGTATTGCTGAGACACCACAGGAGGAGACCTGGGACAGGCACTTCTTCCTCTGCTGCATCACAGATGCTTCGGTGTGGGGTCTCCTCCCCATCCCAGCAGTATTTACCACACTGTCCACCACAGCCTCTTCCTCAGCAGCAGCCACTGAACCTTCCCATGGCCACGGCACACCAGGACAGATGCCTCAGCCCCGTTTTGTCCTAGAGGGCTGCCTGCCCGTCCTGTGCCCAGAGAGACCAGAACCCGGGGTCACGCAGCTGTCATCTTTTGCAGTGCTTCCTCCAGTGGCAGGCATGCATTTATAGTGCCTCCAACTGCAAAGCACTTTGGTCATGAAAAATATAGAAATGTTACAACCAGTTTTATTACCATCTTTATACCACGTTTAATGTTATCACTGTGTGACTTACACACAAAATACATTTTTAAAGGAAAGCACATACATTTTCATTTAGAGAAAAGGGAGAACACTGAATAACAGTTTATGCTTCCTAGAAATACAGTAAAATCCACCTAAATTAATGCTCTAAGCCAGCACAATTCTTCTTTTGTCCACAACTAAAAATCACTATTTTCCTTTAAAAGAATGCAAACAGAAAACATACCCAGAAACGGCTGACCATATTCCTGGGGAGCTGCGGGGGGCAAACAGCTGCAGATAAGCATGGATTCCTAAGCAAAAGCCTCTGGGGTTTTTTGGCAGGAGCAAGAAGCCCTCAGCCCTCTGTTACAGGATCAGTATCTGAAAGACGAGCAGCGCAAGATGCCTCCCGCACACATCACCGCCGTACCAAGGCCGATCTCCAGGATTTCATTTGAACTAATTGCCCCCTTTGCACCTTGTCCTTAAAGTGCATCTTGTGAGGTGTTCTTGTCCTCAGACCTTACAAGGGCTTGCCACCCGTGTTGCAGGTGGCAAGCTGTACTGTACTGCAGTGGGCAGACCTTTTCTTTCCAGTTAGCCTTGCAGTAGTTACAGCGCACACTGCACGGGAAAAGGCCTTGAACTGCCATTCTGCCAGCAGCCCGCCTGCACTGGCAGGTGGAGCAGGGGAGGCAAGAAGGGCCCGAGATGTGGTTTACTTTGTGTCCCACCTCAAATTGCTTTGGTGCTCAAATCTCTGCAGTTAAGCAAATGTCTGCTGACACCACCAGCAGAGCAGAGGTAGTGGATGCCAGGGACACTTGTGATCAACTCAGAGGTGATAAAAAAATTTCAGTAATGAAGGGGTGGCTGACTTTACGGTTAGATATAAAAGATGTGACAAAAGAGTCTTCTTGTTGTACAGTTCTGGGAAGAACATGATTAGGGTCTTCCTTGGAGAAGTCAGGGGTGTTTCTACTGGGTAAGCAAGCCCCATTAGAAGATGGACAAGGAGAGGAATGTTATTTCTCTAAAAATGGTGAAGTTACACACAAGAATAAAAGCCGATTTGGACAGCCTGCTCCACAATATCTTACTTACAACATCCTATTTTAGATGCCTGAATTCAAAACTTCCACACATCCACATTGGCTTTAGCCTCCAGCAAAGGCAGCAGAGTCCAGCCCTGACTAATGGTTTGCAGATTCAGGGCACCGATGTGATAACGTGGCTGTGTGGGCTGAAAGATAAGCACTGAAAGATCCATCTTCTCCTCTCCCCCAGGCTTCTCTGCCTTTATCTCCCTTTTCTCTTTCAGCAATAAAACCTTCTCTAAATTTTGTGCCTCTGCTAAATCCTGCTGTCTTCTTAAGGAGTGGGTATGCCTGGCACAGTGTGCAGCTTCACATCACAACGTGTCGTTCATACAGAAAAAAGACAAACACATGAATACCACCTGGTTTACCAAGAACCAGTCCACAGAACACATTTTCTGCAAACACATGCTTTAGCGCAAAGAGCTGAGAGAGGATGGTAAAACAGCTAACCCCATGTTTCCCGGGGTGCAACTGCTGCACATCAAGAAAACATTGCTGTTGCACAACGAGAGGTAAAAGTGGGCAGGGGATCCTGATCCTCCACCTGGACCCAGCTGGGCACAGCCTTCACCGGCAGCCCGAGCAGCCTGCCGTGGCTCTGAGCCCTCTCATCCCCATAGCGTAGGATTACCCCTACAGCACAGCCCCAGCCCTGGGAGACACCCTCATCCTGACAGCCACCCCACCAGGAACTGCTCGGAGAGGGAAATCAAAAACACAAGTGCCAGATTTTCTTCTGGAACATGGGAATTGTCACTCGGCACCGCAAATTTTAAACTTCCCAGGGTGAGTTTACACACTGGCTCTGAACAGTCTGAGCTTCTCCAAGGTGCTTTTGTTCTCCACTGCACACAGTCATCCCCTTCTCTGAATTTCAA